GGAACGCTGCCCTGCAGTGAGTCTAGTAAAGATCCAGAAATATCCGAGTCCATCAGAACACCAGACCCCTGCAGATGATCAGAACAATGATTTAATCAACCAGATGAAGAAGGCTACATACAAAGGTGTTCTGGGGTGTTATGTTTAGCATTAAATATTTTGCATACACTCACCAGATGAAGATCTTCCTCAAAGTGCATCCATTACGTCCCAGTCCTGAAGTGAAATCAGCTCGTCCATCCCGCGAGCAGTCAGGTTAAACAGCCATGAATGGGCGAGGCCAACCAACACACTGCTGCCAATAAGATAACAAAGGATTGAAATTCCATCAAGCTTTTGCTACAACAAATACTCTCGCCAAAAATGTTACGCCCATGATGCACGACTTTTGGCTCAGTTGAAGCCGGTCATGGTTGAGTCGGTTTTGCAAACAGCTGCTTTGATTGAGGGCTTTGGGTTGAGTTGGACGAGGACGCACAACGAGCTGAACAGTACGCTGAGCAGAGTCAGGCTTTCAGAGCAGCAGGTCATCAGTGAGCTCGAGCTTTGGGACAAGGTGCATGAACAGAACACACAAACACACCTCTCAAAGAAAGCTAAAACTCTGAGTACATTTATAAGAATACATCAACAGACCGGGTTGTGATGCATTTCCCTGAAACCTGATTGGGCGACGATTGGAATTTGGTCCAGGAACAGGTGTGTGAGTGTACTACACGTTTCCCATCAAGGCTCACAAAAACTGGTCGAACTCGTCCATAACTGAAACAGCAATCAGAACAGTTTCTGTTTAGTGTCTGGGGAATGAAAAACACTTGATATAACTTAGATTTCTCAGCAGGGCACTGTCATACACACACCTCAGACCAGTTACTGTTCAGTGTTCCTCGAGTCATTTTCTTATTCTGCATTCTTCACCCGTTTGTCTGATGAAGGTCTGGTGCCAATAAATGTTTGTTTGCAAGTTAGACATTGTGCAGGAATTTACCTTTAAGTCGTATTCTGCACTGGACTCTTAAGAAAAGGGATGAAATGAAATACATTTTTACCTTTTGGGCACTTTAGAAACCTGAATTTAAACCTCCCAACCTTAAATCAAGACCGGTCAAGACCACCACTGATGGGCTTTTATCTTACTGTCATTACTGTGATTAGAAGGTAAACGCCCCTTTTGAAAAGAACAAATAACTTAAAGTCATCCGTAGTTTGATTTTTATCCCCCGGTTACGGCTGCAGCCTTCCCGGTGTTACGGTCTAAGTGAGTGACACGCCCCCTAAACACAAGATGATGATTTTTCAGTGATATTTATGGTCTTCTCTTGGCCTCATCCTGCCTTGGTCTTGGTCTTGTCTCTGTCTCAATCCCTAAATGTTGTGGACTTGTCTTGGTCTCGCCCTGTCTTGTTTCTTGGTCTTGTCTTGGTCTCAATCCCTAAATGTCGTGGACTTGTCTTGGTCTCGCCCTGCCTTGGTCTTGGTCTTGTCTCTGTCTCAATCCCTAAATGTTGTGGACTTGTCTTGGTCTCGCCCTGTCTTGGTCTTGGTCTTGTCTTGGTCTCGGGTATATCTTGGTCTTGGTTAGTGTGCTCTTGACTACACCACTACCTCAAACACCGGGAAACTTGTTTTTAAAGGCCCATATAAGGACAGGCATTGCAAATGAGCTTAATCTATACATGCTGTGTTGACGTGCTCAGTACTTGTCCCTGTACAAATAAACATGAAATAAATAAATAAATAAAATAGTCACTGACTTTGGCTGAAACTATGGACCGGGTTTGTGAAGCTGCGTCATGTTTTTGGGCAGTCAAATGATTTGACCCGGTGAAGACGTCAGGTTGTGGATTTGTTCCCTCTCTGTGTTTGTATTTATGCAGTTATTTAAAGTGGATAATAAAACTCACTTTGCTTTGTATGAAAACAGGACAGGAGAGAGATCAGAGAGCTGGCGATGGTTCTCCCCTCTGATCTACAAAGAGAACGATATGACGCCCAAACACATGCTCCTGTCCGACAGCAGGGGTCTTTATTTTTCATACCTGAGAGCCCGTTGGACGTGTTTGATTTACGACACAGCCCTGCCTGAATGTAGCAGCATGGATGTATTAAACACATACATTTGTTTTAAATACATACGAGCCCCGGCGTGTTTATAGGGCCGCGCTCTCCTCTCTTTTTATCCTGGGAGGTCATTGGGTATGTTTGATTTATAGCCTGGTCCCTTCTGGCTGTGTTTTCACATGGGTCCAACACCACCCGGACCCTCCCCGAGTGTGGAAAGAATTAATAAAACACACACACATGCACACACACTCTCACTCTCAGACAAACACACACACTCAAGCGGGCCGACCTATTTCTCTCTGATGGTTATCAGTACTGCCTTTCTTATTTTTATCGTTTTTTTCATTTTTACCATTGTTGGATAGGAGAGGTGTGAGACAGGAAATGTTGGGATGAGAGAGCGGTGCATGATGCAGCGTAGGACGTTGTCGGATTTTAACCCTGGGAAGCTGCGATGTTGCTCATTTCTGCATCCCGACCTAAAACTTCAAATCTGAAATTAGATTTTTCTCCTTCAGACTTGAAGTATTTAGGATGGCTCTCTTTTTATTCAATCAATCAATCATGTTGCGTATAATGCCAATCCATAACAAGTGTTATCTCGAGACGCTTAACGAAAGAGCATATGGGATAATTTGCAGGAAGGAGGTAAAGTGACCATCAGTATTAACTCACTCATACGCCGAAGCAGCGGGGTTCAGTGTCTTGCCTAAGGACACATCAAACCACTGACCTTCCGAGTGAAGTGAGAGACGATCAGCTCTACCAACTGAGCCACAGCCCCCCCCCCAACCAATACTGGACTGTATTATAATAGCATAATTGTAAAACGCAAAGAAAATAGAGATTCTCATGTCATTTCACCCAGCACTAGTATTTGTATCAGTTAAGAAACTTCATGTCTCAAACCCAAGCAGCAGCCTTCAGTGTTGAAAAATGAAGCCGATACTGAAGTGCAAAATCCTGCAGTTCCTCAAGTGTCCACTAGAGGCTGGCTGTAGAAGCACAGGAAGTCACATACACACCCATTCTAAAAAGCCTGTTTTTACAGCAGAGATGAACATGTTTACAGCCTGGTTCAAAAAAACAAACAGGTCTCAGCTCATGTCTCGATCGGCACACATGGGTGGTTACTATTTTAATGACTCATCTGTTTGATGAAGGATAGGCGTTAATTACAATAAGACACATAGTTGACTTGATTGACAGGTGGGCGCGGTGCAACAGTTTGTCAAGAAGCTTGACCTCAGCTCCAGCTCTCAGCCTGTCGTTAGGTTGACTGAAAGTTAGAGTGAGACAGCATTTCCAGCATGGAGACCACCATCCAAGGGAACCCAAAGTTCCGGGTGACGGGTGACTTCCCTCAGGCTTTAAACATTCATATTTACAGTCTCCCCCCCTTTTTTTTCTTCCTTAATTCATCTGTCTACCTGTCTTTACCTCCTTTAGTTATTTATCATCCTCAAATTCTCCCTCGCCCTGTTTATGTTCCCGTCGTCCCTTGAGAGTCTAAAGTCTAAATTCTGACTGTGACACATTATCCATTCACAGAAGCAGAACGTGTGTGTGTGACAGCAACTGCGACGCCTGGATTTCCCCCTGACGATTAATGAAGTGATTCTGATTCTGAAAGGACAGAGATCTAGAAGTGGTCGGCTAGATTTAAAAATGTTGTTACAATCATGAAATCAACGATTGACCAAACAGCGTCAAGAGGCGTTTCAGTAAAGTCCCGTCAGACTTTGTTAGCCGAACGTTTCTCACACGAGAAAACTCAATGTGGTTTGAATTATGAGGACATTAGAGTTTGGGTTTGGTATCATTTCTGTCTGCTTTAAGTGGTTTTTGTCTCAAGCTGTTTGAAGAGAGTAATTAGCTCTTGGCTCGTTGGTACTCTGGCAGGAAAACAAAGGAGTCTTGTGGGATTTGAACTCCTGACCTCAGTTACAGTCTGGTTCTGTCCGACACTCTGGAGAAAAAAAAAAAGAAACATGTGGGAAAGAGTTTTAAAATAGTTTCTGCTGGATACGAAGATGTGGGTTTGCATGTGGAGTTTGCTCATGTTTTTAGAATGATTTTTGGGTGGGTGAGGTGTTGTTTTAGCGGCGGTGTGACCCAGGAACTCGTCAGCTCTCTGGCTGCGTTTGAACAACATCATGGTCGTTATAAACGGTCCAAACTGAATGAGAGACACCAGATAATTCCCATAAATCATTGGGGTTGGGTAATATGTTAAATTGGGCTCTTATCAGATGGGAAAGGTTTGTCAAAATCAGACCTGGACAAAGTCACTTCCAGCTCACAGTCTCTGTGTGAAACACTTTAAAAACATCTTATGCACATGTGTGGATATTCATGGTCCTCAGAGGAGCTTTCTTTGACCTTCACTCCTACACCACCAGACAGATCAGAGTTTATATTCAAGACGCTGTCCCCCCTATTTCAGCCCTGCTCAGAACAGGCTGTTTATGTGTCTGTACCTTTAAATGTAAATGAGCTGTGTCTGACCACGCCCCCTCTCTGGACGGACTTGGGTGTCTCAGGCTTTCTTTCTCCATGTCCTATTGTTTACGGTGAGAAGGCAGACTCAGAGGGCAGAACAAACACCTAGCTGTGAGAGTGTCACCCACCTGGGGGAGGGGCAACTGCCCTTTGTGATGTCATGAAGGGAAAATCTCCAAACGGCCTGTTTGAACACACATTTTCTGAAAAGTGGAGCAGGGAAAAGATGGAGAGGATGGACTTTTCTCATCATTGGGGGGTTTGTAGACAGACTAGAGACACATGTTAGAGTTAGAGGAACATGGGGAAGTGGATTTTGCAGAATATGTGACCTTAAACTGAACCACGATCTCATCGTCACTCCTGCTGTGTAACTCTAAAAACCTTATTTATGTTGCACGGTTCAAATAAAGTTTTTGTGTGTGTCATTGCAGGTCTTGCATTTTCTACAGAGCCTGTATGGACATCCCCAGAGGAACAGAGCTGCTGGTTTGGTACAATGACTCCTACACTTCCTTCTTCGGCATCCCACTGCAGTGCATCGCTCAGGACGAAAACTGTGAGAGGACTCTGCTTACTTCCTTTCTTACACTCCTTTGCCCACACTACATTACATTTCCACTTGTATGTTTGATAAACTTCCCTTTAAAAATGGCGGCTAGAAATGATCCTCTTATCGAGGCACTCGTTCAACAAGTTGTAATATCACAGGGACTCCTCTAAAACTCGATTAGGGCTCAAGTTCATTACAGAGACTTTCTGTGTACATGAGGCTGAAGGCTCAAGGTGAACAAGACATTGAAACTAATCCTAAAGTGACAGAAGGTGATTCTCCGACCAGAAGGCTCAGTTTCCTTCACACGCGGTCATGACGGTTAACAAACAGCAGGAGCTCCACATGCACTCCCCATCCTCTCCTCTCCTCTCCTCTCTTCTCCTCCCCTCTCCTCTCCTCTCCTCTCCTCTCCTCTCCTCTGTCACTAATTTATTTTTGTTTATATCTGCTCCAGTTTTCTGCTCAGTCAGCCTGTTTAGATTTGTTTCCATTCAAACTGTTTTTCTGCGGATTTGACAGAGTAACTAACTCCCTGCAGCAGGACAAGAAATAAACGTTGACGTTTTTTTCTCCTTACACAATTATGGAGCAAAAGAAAAGAAAACATGAAGAAGACTTTTAATCTGTGGCATCTCAATGAAAATGAATTGAATTAGGAGCTCATCTTTCACAGAGTCGCAGTAAAACAAGATCGTGCTGATTGCAAATTAGAGACGTTTGGCCACAAACTGCTTTGTTTTACAGACTGAACGACTCTTTTACATGACATCGTTCCCCGTGACAGCCTCTGCACACATGCACACACACACATGCACCTCGCACAGATGCATCGCACACACACATACACACACACACATGCACCGCAAACAGATGCATACACACACACACACACACACACACACACACACACACACGCACTGCATACACACACACTTGTTTTGCCAGTGCATTCCTTCCGAACCCTTGCTTCCTAACGCAAATTGAATACAGTATGTTTGAACTGCATTAACCATGTGGCTGATGTGACGACCACGCTGTATGGAAAATCATGTAAGCTCCGAGTAAATCATCTCAATGGTCCCTGGACGGTCCTTCATGACATTCAGTGAGTACATGTTGGACACATTAGAGAGACTGTTTGAGGTTCTCCGGGGATAATTCTTAATGATTTCCTGATCTTGTGAAGTTTCAGCTCAAAGACGTCCACCTGTTCAACATTTCAATTTAAAGTCATGACTTCATATCGGTCAGCGTCAGCTTTATGAATGCAGAAAAATAATCTAAAATGCACACAAATCAAGACAGTCATTTGGATGATCTTACTATCTTAACCGATTTTTAAAATGTGGGAGACCACAAACATGAGGACAGTTTCATCCAACATTGCAATCTTCAGAACGCACACACTAGACGATTCGACCAGACACACCTGCTGTTTGTAGTAAAAAAAAAATGGCAGTGGTTAGATCTTACAGAATCTCGCAAGACTTCAGAAGAAAAACAAATATGGAGGAAGACGATGGCTGGCTGTGTGGTTTGTCTTCATGAGATGTTATAAAGACACTTGTGTTGCTGCCTTTACTCTACAAGCTGCTCTTCTTTTTTTTTTTTACACAAAGTTCAGGGCTCAGTCGGGTTTATATTTGCTGCCATGGCGGTGAGCTGTAAAAGTGTATTCAACATCCAGTTGGTGGTGCTTCCCGGTCTACTCGCTCTCATTGGCTAGTGAGGCTATTTTTGTGGAGGCAGCCCGATCTAAAAAGATTTCAAATCGTAAATCCAGCAGGCTGCGGCTCGATTAGGAGCAGTAAAAATAATCGTATTGACACCAAACACGCTTGACGAGCCTTGAATCGATCGTTTCACATACTGTCAGTGTTTCTCATGGCCTGAGAATCGAGTTGACGTGTGAAAGTTGTTAAGTGTAGAGGTGAATACAGCGGTCTGTCAGAGTCTTTAATAAAAGTACTGATTATCTCCAGAAAAAGAAACATCAGGGAGAAACACGGTATACCATCTCACACACACACACACACACACACACACACACACACACACATGCAGAGGGCAAACAAAGAGCGAAGCCTCTGTTCCGCCCTGCAGTCAGAAAAACATTTGTTCACATCCAAATGAAGAGAAATTAGATTACTCTTCTTTTGTGCAAACTGAAAGACAGCAGCTCTGCTCTAAATCAAAGACATTTCCACACTAACTGCATTCACTTTTCCATTGCATCGTAATCTGCTGATCGAGGCCTCAAAGTACAAGTGTGACGTCAAAACTCGACAAAGAAGACAAAGTGATTGTGACCTCGTGTGTCCTCAGAGGAACAGACATGGTTCTGTATGGTTTGCCTGCAGGATAAATGCCAACAATATCAAAACGATGAGGTGAGCCGACATCAGTCCATGTAGTCGTCTGTCCATTAAGAAATAGTTAAGTGTTAGAGCGGCCACAGCCAATCAGGAGTCAACTAGTCTTTGTTTCCCGACCAATCAGAGAGCATTTTCCTTGTGCATCACACATTTTGGTCTGCCTTTAAATGTCCCCGTGTGAACACAGACAAAACGGGAGGTAATTATGCAACAAAGGAACAAACTGGTCCATGATTCAGACCAGAGCAAACGATCTACAGGTGGGAAAAAGGCCTAGCTAATTGACAATAATAATTAGATTATAATGCAAGTAAAAATTATTCAAAATGTGAAACATGGATCAAATCCTAGATTAAAAATTACACATTTAGAGAAGGAAAAGCATTTGTATCCCTTATTATGATACAAGATTAAAAACAAATAAGGGTTAGGGGTTAACCTGAGGAGGTCTGAATGAAAAAAACGATCATTCTTTTAAAGGAGCAATATGTAACTCTGACACCTAGTGTTTAAAATGGGTACTGCAGTCTAAATTCTAAACATTGTAGAGAGCTGTTCTCTTGCCCGCTTCCATCTCTGCAACACCTGGTAACTGATCAACCTGATAACTGCTCTCATATCTGAAAAACCGAGGGGCGTCCAAAACGGCCGTGTGGGGGTCGCCTTAAAACCGCCTACCTTCTCTGGTCCAAACAAATCCAGAGCATTCAGGACCAGAATCTAAAGTTAGAAGGAGGACATACTGGCTGCTGCATTGTTGTCAGAGAAGCCAGCACTTCAACATAGCATGTTTCCTTAATGTCTGATCATATAGTAAGATCACTTTATCATTTCACTCACTACACATCTCACTGGTTGGACCTTTAAGTAATTTTAAATACAAAACAAACGCCCAGCGAACACAGATTATTCTCTACACTTTCTTAAACGCAGGACTCACATAAAACACTAAAGAAAACAGTTAAGAACCCGAACACAGCAAAGAAAACACACACTGACCCTCTGCACACTATCAAAGCACACACACACCCTGTGGTTGTTTACTCATGGATGTTCCATCCAATCACAGCCTGTCTGCTTGACGCTCCGCAGCCCGGCCGCCGCCTAACAACAACAGCATGTTCACTGACAGAAAAATCAAATCACTTCAAGGGGACTCCTCTTTGTCTTTCTTCTTCTCATTCTTCTCCTCTTCATCCTCCTCCTCCTCCTCTTCCTCCTCTTCTCCTCCATCTCTTTTGTCTACTCTTGTTTCGGTAACACGTCCTCCACGTTTTCTGAACTTCTTGTTCTCGGGCGTCTGACAGCTGTAGGTTTGTGGAGATATTTTTAAAGAAACAAATTAATAAAAGAAAGAAGGTGAGATAGAAAGTAAGGGATGTTCTGAAAACAAAAAGAGATGTTGTGTTGAGGGGATGAAGGGAGTAACAATAAAATCAAACCCTGGGAAAAGAAGGAGGAACTGAGGATGAGCACATTTTTAAGGATATATTCAAAAACCTTTTAAAAGTGTAAAACACAAAACAAAAGAGAAGCCAGTGTAGTTTTGAGAAAACAAAAAAAAACACTTATAATCCAAATTAAACTCCTAAGAATGACCCTCATTCCATAGAAGGAGTACTCTAGAGCTGTCCGACGTCGAGGCACACGGACACGCCCACTGGCGGCCTCCTCTCTCCTGATTGCTAAATTGCCTCGAGTGTGACTGGCTGCACGGAGGCGTCTCTGCTCGACAACATAGTGAGAGAGTAACTGTGTATGTATGTGTGAGCATGTAAAAAGTCCAGTTAGCATCGTTAGCACCAGCGCTAGTTTGGTTACGTCTGCCGTCGCACTAATCTCATGTCAACAAAAGTGACAGCGTCGCACGATGCCGTCACACGGAGGAGAAACTGGCGCTCAGTGTGACGTTACGAGAACAACACTCTGTTTTCCCCGTCTACACAGAAAAACCTTAAACTGAGTTTCTGAACATCTTCATCCTAGAAGGAGTTTTACAGAAGGGTTTTTTCTCAGTGACCTAAAACGCTGTTTGTGTATGAAAGACCAAAAAAGCCACGTTTTCTAAAATAGCCGCCTACGTGTGGACGAGGCCTGAGAAGCAGCACAGAGAGAGAGAGAGAGAGAGAGAACACGAAAACCAACACACAACACTCAGGCACACAACATGCAGGAAGGAGCGACAGATGACATTTTGTCCCTGCACCTCTGCAGTGAACAGTTTTTTATCCGACTCATTATTATGATCACCGTTGTTATAATTGCCTCCATTGATTTAATTCAGCTTTATTATCTGTGGTAACTTATGATTATTGATTATTAAGAGAGCTTTGGCAACATAATCAGAGCAGTACTTCACAGCATTAAAGAGAGACAGACGGGGAAGCTCTGAGAGGAAGCAAAGGCACCAACTGTTGAAGTCGAGTTTCTTTCTTATTTGGTGAGGCTGAAACTACAGAGTATCCAACACTTTGATAAATCTGTCCATCCTCTCCGTCTTCTGCCTGCTCCGCTTTTCAGAAAATGTGTGCTCAAACAGGCCGTTTGGAGATTTTCCCTTCATGACGTCACAAAGGGCAGTAGCCCCTCCCCCAATTGGGTGGGGTGGGTAAATGAGTCTCAGAGCTC